CCTGACATACATATTGATTCAAAACTAATACTGCTACAACTGATCCAAGGAACTTATAGTCAGAGATGGAAATTATTTCAAATCCGTTGGATTTTCAAAATCAAATCCGGATTTTAGATTTTAAAAAGGATTTTGATTTTAAAAAACATAACTACAAGGATTTTTGATTTGATTTTAAAATTCCATTGAAATGATTTTGAATTTCGAATGTCAGTTTTTAACATGAACTTAGATAATATATTTTTATGTTTTTATAGTTCATGGTTTTTAACAATTGATAAAAATAAAATATGAGAATAGGTCCAGCAACCAATTACCATGGTTATTAGATAAATATTAACTAAAGCCAGTTACCAAAAGTATTAATACTAAACTTTGATATAATATCAATGTGTTTATAGCTATAGATACGATAATATTAATATATTATTATTATATCTTCCATGAACGTCTCTCTGTATTATAATATAGACTAGCTGCTGGTCAAACCTCGTCAGGTAGGATAAAGGAGTAGGTAAGATTCAAGAGAAGAGAAAATTAATTTAGAATACTTAGAGAATAAGGATACGGGATAAGTTAGTTGAGATACAGGAACAGGTAAATATGCCGACATCAGTTTTTTACAGGACTCCACGTCTCCGCTCCCAGATCCCAGGTACCCCTATAATATAGGATACAGTATTTCCGGAAATTCGGCACAATGATCACATGAAGCACACATTTCACCTCCACGGTGGTCTAATATATGCTCTAGTATTTATATTGATAAACTATTTAACGATTTAATTTATTATTGTTAGTAAAATTGATGAATTAAAAAAAATTAAAAAAAATATATATATTTTTTTGGATAATTTAGTTTTTAAATATTTTTTAAGACAATTTTTAAAGTGCAGATTTCGAATTTTTGGATTTTGGAATCATTAATTTTAAAGATTTTGGATTTGGATTTTGAAAATGATTTTTAAATGATTTGAATTTAGAATTTTCAAAATCTTTTATTCGATAATTTTGGACTTGGATTTTAAAAATCAATTTTTTAAGGATTTTACCCAGCTCTGGTTATAGTGTCCTAAATATAAACCATAAACCTAGACAATGAAAAACCATGACGGCTGTATAATTTAAAGCAAGGAAAAAACGTAGAAAATTAGAACGTAATCATCGAACCAGTTAAACATTGATCATTTGAACGCGCGCCACACGTCAACCCATTAGGCACCATCGAATCGTTGAGTAAAGTACCTAAAAAGTAAAAAAAAAACCAATCATGACTAATGAGAACGATAATTGAGGAAGGTCTCGTTGGCCATTATGTTATTCTGATAAGTAGGGTTTGAAATTTATAGGAGTTGAAAATTTTTCTGTTTGCACTGGATTGATAGCAGACCAAGCTAGAAATTATTTCTTAACAATGGTGAATTTAAAAAGCATATTTTGCATATTTCATTAGTTTTAGAAAAAAGTCCATATGTCATCGATTTTCATTAATTTTCGCATATTTTTACACATATTATGCATACCTATTTAATATTTGCTAAAAAAAAATTTTTTTTTTCTTTCTTAACCAATGTATTTTAAATAATATTGAATATAAAATTCAATATTATTTAACGTAGTTATTTATTGTTATTTATTATTATACTACGGATTTTAAAGCAATAAAAAACTACAGAAAAGCACTAAAAAAAATAAACATTGAAGCTGTATAAATCTTCCAAAAAAGCCTATAAAAAGCATCATAAATTTCATAAGAAACGAATTATACTGTATTACACCGAAAACTAAACTGTAATTCTGTGTAGATAATTTCCAGGGCAAGATCATATTTTTGTGTTTATTGTCGTTTCAAGATAAATTAATCTACTATATACCATACGGTACGTGAATCACATTATCTATCTATCATTAACATTTTAACAATTATGTTTATTTAGAATACATTTTGAAAAAATGTAACTTAAAAGCAAAAAAAGTACCCAAAATACTCAATAAAGCATTAATATACAAAAAAGCAAAATAAAATGTCGTGCATTTTATTCTAAGTAGTATAAATCAAATTTATAGCTGACATAGCTTCGTTTTAGAGCAATAAAAAAAAAGCAAATGCCTCCAAAATCCGTACTCTATTTATTATCTTCTCAGTCTATTATTAATTTAACGACAACGGTGCAATTCGCGTTTAATAAAAATACGTTTTTGATTTGAATAATTTTGTGCACATTTTACATTTTTTCATATATATTTTACTATTTTTTTTTTTTGCATATTTTGCTTTTTATTAACTCCTGTAACTTCCGATCCCTACTGATAAGTATCAAATATTCTCTGACAGTGATAACTACTGTTAATAACAATCTGTTATAGCCGCGGTGACAAACTGTGCCAATTTTTGAGCAGCGTAGCTCCCAATTTAGACATAGATAATAATGGAACAGATAGCGTACGCCATAACTAATCTCAAGAAATACACGATTCCCGGAATGGTGACCAATTATTGAGGTGAATTATAAAACCAATCGTATAGTATATGATGCGCTCTTAGCCATAGATTTCTACAATCTATTATACCTAGAGGCATATCTATGCATATAGAAATCGCACTCAAATTCGGCTGTTTCTTATTCAAGAACTATTTATTTTAAGCCATAACCTATCCATTCCTTTAATATCTTTGAGCAATGAGCGTAAGCGTATCATTACATTGCACGGTCACCACTTGATTGGTCTTTTACTAAGTCAGGCGAGTTGCCTATAGTAGTGTACGTGTACGGTAGTGGTCTTCAACCGGGGGGTCGCGACCCATTTTTGGGTCACATAAGCTTTAAAATTGGATCTCGAATAGTTTTCTTTTTTAAAAAAACAAATTAATTTATACAATTATATAAGGTGTACAAATAATTGTTTAATTATTAAACTTAGAAAATTAAATAAATGAAAATACATTTTAAAAATGATTGTAATATATTATGTACAAACAATATTATAAAATTTATATTCCCTAATATAATATTATAATGAATATCAAATCACAGTATATGTTTCATATATTGGTATGATTCTACCATGGGCGTAATCTCGGGAGTGCATCGGGGTACACTTAACACCTCCTTGAATTTTTGTGGGGGTGCAATACTATCATTTTGTACCCGTTGAATTTTCTATATTTAAAATGTATAAATAATGCTAAATTTTTAAATATTTATAAAGTAATGATAACGACGTTAACAAATTGTCATCTGATGATTATCACGTCCTCGTGATGCTCATCGATTTACAGTTCTTTTATTTTACGTATGTGAATTAGTAAACCATTATTTTTTAAATCTATGTTTTTCCTAGAGTGAGGAACACTATTCTTATATCAGTTGTAATCACGGTATATACCATAGACATGCAATAGAATAAACCAGAAATGATACTAAATATGTGAGGCTAACATGACTTTATAGATTTGCGGTTTTATCAAATAGATTATAACTTTAATCACACTGATAGCCCGTGATAAGCAAGATTAATAGATAATATTCTGTATATTATTCAATTACCCTTGCATGAATGTACACATTATCTATGTATGCACCAATTAATCTTAAATGGGGAAAGTGATACTACAAAATAGTAAAAAGCAAGCGATTTTGCAGAGAGTTGATAACTTTTCTGATTTGTTTTGCACCCTTTAGATTTTAGCGAAATTACACCTATGGATTCTATGTAGTATGGCATTGAATATAATAATTTACAAGTAAACCGGGCTAGTAATAAAATTAATATATTATATTGTTATGGTTAAATTGTCCCATAAACTACAAACATTATCGATGTTGTTGCTGTGTTCAAAGACAAAATATTATAAATATTAGTCGCGTTATTATTCTAATCGTATTTACGTATCTGTTAAAAAGTTTTTTTTTTCGTTTATTTCGTCAACAATGTAGTTTTTATTTATTCAACTACAATAGTACTACTAAAAAGTAGTAAGTCATTTTAGATTTTTTTTTCTTTAGGTGTGCGATCGGCTTTACGTGGGTCGCAAAAAATGTACGCCTAAAAAAGTCGGTCGAGAGTCCAAAAAGGTTGAAGACCACTTGTGTACGGTATAAAGAATGTGTTTAATTATTTGATTATAAGGAAACTGATTAGTTAATTTCGGTTAACTACTACGAGGATGGTAATACGAAAAAAAATTTCCGGAGAAAGATCTCCAGGAAACGAAAAACATCCCCAAAAACAACTCGATTGTCAATAATAATAATATTTAAATTAGTTTACGGGGATACTTCAATTTAATTTATATGCATAAATTACCGTCTATTCATTGTCATCCGTATGGTTTTTCCGTCTATCTATAGATTACAAACGAAACAACAAACTTTCCAGAAAAATAATTTATTGAATATAACAATATTATCTATTATCTAGAGGAAAGTCCGCATAACTATAATTTTAGTTACCAGATATCCCTATCCCTACGCCATAAGCTACGACCGCTTCAATTTTTCGTCAGTGGCCGGGACCGATAAACGGGATACGTGGGAAACCCCTATGTGATTGTTGAGGTTACCGCGCCGAGTCCGAGTAGAGCGATGTGTGTAGGCCGTGGGGCGACTATTTAGACCTAGGTAATTGTTGTAATATTATGGTAATTAAAAATAAAAATATAAAATATTATTTATAGTCGCGGTGATAACGCTGATAACCGACGGAGTTTTATCGCAAGATGTTTTATGCTGCGGTCTTATATTTCAGTTTCCCATAATAATATGTAGGTACCTATCAAATTGTCACCGACCGGACAAATTGTTTTGTTATTTCTCGCCTCGTGACCGTGAACACCGCGGCGGTGACGTAACGAATACCGTAACAATGTGTACGCGAACAAAGCCGAAATACCGAACGGTCGGGAGGGCGCGCGGCGCAAAACCACCAACGATCAGCTGATGAACGGTTTGCCAAACGCGACCGTGCACAGCAGCTCCGGTGGTTAAAGCGGCGTTCCCCGTGGAAATGGCCGCCAGTATAAATGTGACTCTCATCCTGTCGTGATGGCCGTCGTCCGTGACTGTTTCTCGTTTGTTTCGAACCCAACCGTCGTCGTCGTTGTCTCCACCGCGCGCCACGGAGTTGAATTTTCGGGGTCGTCGTTTTCAGATCGCAGGACGCGCAACGTCGTCGTCTTCGGCTGGACGCGCAGTTTCGCGGTGATCTGACGCGGGATCGATGCGACAAAAATGACATTTTACCCACCGACGACGAAATACGATGTTAAATGCGTAATATAATAACGACACATCCGTCCGTCATGAATTCACGCGACCGAAACGGCGTAAAAATCTAAAACATTTTCGGAAACCGAGCTTAATGATATTAATATTACAACTGCAACGACGGCGTATTAACAAACAATTGATTTCCCAACCCCCAACCCCGTACCGGTGGTCGTAACTACGCGTACAGGTAGGCTGTCTAATATTTTTTACAGTTTTTTCTCGATGACGTCGCCGTGTCCGGGTTATGGATTTACGTTGTTTATACTGGTGACTGGTGTTTTGTTTACTACCTACATAATAATAATTCATCTCAAATTGACCTACTTTGTCACCGCCGTTGCACAACATCCACCGACTGAGAATTTGCATAGCTGTATTTGCCTTTTGGTCGTCTTCGGCTACAGCCGTCATAAGTTTATTTCCCGCATGTTATTAAACGTATATTTTGTAACTAGGTAGCTTTCGTTGTCCCCTCCAGACCGTAATGTCGTGTGTTTGTAACGTTGGTGGTGGTGGACCTAACCCACTGACTTTTAAACCTTCCCATTTTTTTTACTATAAACAACACACCGAAGTCGAAGGACACGGCCGACTAACACACACCCGTGTTTTGTAGTATTTACTCTCACAAGCAAATTGCGTACTTTTCAAACCAGATTTAGAACTAGTAGAGAAAATTACATCATACCTACCTAAGTCATATAGGGGTGCTATAGGGTATTATACCATTGTATGGCACCTAGATATAAAATAAAGCCGTAAAAGTGCAAATGTTATCTACAATCAAATTCTAACTAATTAATATACCTACCAGAAAATTGTGTTTGAGACATCAATTTTTAAACATATTAAAGGAATGGTCTCTATAAAACAATAAAAACTAAATAAATACTTAAAATTTAAAATATATACCTATGGATAATATATAAAAGCACCGAATAATGTTCAATAGATTAAGTATGTAGATAGGTACTTAATTAATATTTGATTTGAATATTTTAATCGGAATATAGAATGTATAATAAACAAATAAGTACTTAAATACATTTTTAAATATGCAAAATAATAACTAGGCTTATACTAATATCATAAGTAATTTTACACTAACCTAAATTGTTTTTCAGATGGTTTTTTTGTTATTTGAACATTCTGTGATCTATCTGTAAATTAAAATGGCATCGAGGTACTTAATTAATTTTTTTATTTCTTGTCCAGTATTTTTTTTTCTAACCATATTGCTAATTGTTATATTGTTATAGATTGGATAGACTTTTTATATTATTAGAAACTGGAGGTAGTTCAGTTACCAGAAAAGCAGCAGCAAATCAACTTGGACAAGTTGTGAGGTTGCATCCCCATGAACTTGAACCCCTATTGGAGCGTATATCTGGATACTTACGAAGTTCATCATGGGAAACTCGTATAGCTGCTTCACAAGCTATTGAAGCTGTAATTAAACAAATACCCCAATGGTGTCCTAGTGGTCTACCTCCTGTTAAATTGGGTGTGTTAGATAATCTTTTGTTTTTAAATTTATATCTGTGCCTAATTGTATACCACATTTATAACGATTTTCAGAACTTTGTAATGATTTACAAGTGGACGAAAAAGAAAATGATAAAAAATTATCATTTGATACGTTTAATCTTGCTTCCATTATGAACTGTTCTGCTTTGATGGCTTCTCCGGATATTGAGCAAGACAATCCAATTGCTTCAGAAAATGGTAAAGTTTATCTATTAATATTTTTACTTATTAATTATTATAAATACTATTGATTATGGTAATAAAAACCAAATTGTTGTTAATGAACTTTTAAGTATAAATATTTTCAAATATCAAATGTAAATATTTTATACCTATATTCAAATACTAGTTTGTTAAAAAAGTAAATTGAAGAATTTCAAGAATCATTAATTGAATGAGTTGAATGACACAAACTAAACACATATAGTAGATTAAGTTAGGTTAATTAATTATCAATGATTGCCAATTTCTACATTTATACACTGTAATTATGTGTAATAAGAACATTTTCAGAATTTTCAGATTTTTAAAAAAAATGGTGTAATTTCTCACAAACTTATTCTGGATAAGAATCTGAAAAATGTTACATAACACTTAAAGTTATGCGCACCCTTCAATTAATTAATGTAAACCTCGTATTAAGTTTATTTTCATCAGCCATAATAATATTACCTAATATAGGTGCTCACTCATTAGGTTACGTTTTATCTCAAAATAATGGATTATTTTTATTTGCATATACAAGATGATTTATTTGAGTGTATCTATGTACACTTAATATCTCGGAAAGTATAAATTTTTTTTGGAATTCGTTTTATAAAACATTTAAAAAACAAGCATTTACGCTAGTTTTTATCATCTTTATTTTTGGGGATAATACCTCTACCTACTTTTGATTTTCAAATGGCACGCTATATTAAAAATTGCATAAATAGATAGAGTATTAGTTAAAATAAATTTTGATGTTGACATTCATGATTTCAGTCAACCAGTTGACAAACAAGATATTCCAATGTTAAGTTTGGATCAGGGAAGTGTAGTGGAGCATCATTTATATATGTTGATAATGTATCACTTCCCTCCATCTACTCAAACTTAAAATCTGGTTTGTTAACAGATTGACGAAAATCAAAAATGTCAATAAAATGTATTTTAATTAATATATTGAAATTTATTGAATTTTTAATATAGGGTGTCATTTGAAAATCAAAAATAGGTAGTGGTTTTAAACCCAAATATAAAGATGACAAAAAATAACATAAATATAAAATTATAGAGCTGCTATTCTCTTTTAATGGTTATAAAACAAACTACGAACAATTTTAATCTATGAACTGTATAGATTTAGACCCAGGCTCACTACAATTATGAACCTATTATAAATTATACTTAATAATTTTGTTTTAGAGGCTTTCGAAAATAAATCCCATGTAGATGTTATCTTCACAGATTTCACCAAAGTCTTCAATCAAGTAAACCATAACTTTCTCCTTGATATACTATACAGATTGGACTTTGGCGATCCATTTATGGCCTTGTTTAAATCATTTTGTCCAGGGGATTCTAATATGTAAACATTTATGGTACCGAGGTTTTGCCTATCTCCTCTGGCGTCTCTGCAAGGTGGCCATCTTTCATCATTTCTTTTTGCTTTATTTGTTAATGGCTTAAAAAAAGTTATTCTCAATGATAATCTTCTCGCATTTGTTGATGACTTAGAAAATGTACCATCTAATAAAATCAATAAATCAATAGACTGTAATATAGTTACAGAGTGAACTCAACAATCTAGTCACATGGTGTAATTTAATTTATCTCAAATTAAATTTGGAAAAATGTCAATTAATTTCCTTCTATCAGACTAATACTGCCATCACACACACCTTTAAAATCAACAATATTGAACCAATGTCTGTTTCAAATAAAAAAAGAACTAGGTATCCTTCTGACCAAGAATCTAAATCATCACACTCATATTCAATCAATAAGTTGCAAAGCCTATAAGACATTAGGTTTTTTAATATGTACTTTAGCTGAATTCAAACAGTTCTCACTGAAGGCTCTCTACTACTCAAGTACACCCCCTATTAGAATATGGCCATGTCCTATGGAACACCTATACTGCATCTGATTTCTCGATTATTGAGTGAATCCAAAAACATTTCCTTTCTTTTGTTAATCACATTCTTATTATTAACCATTCATTGAAATTAAAATAAATGAATGGAGTGATTCTTTTTAAACCAGCAATTTTCTTTGAGGATTTAAAGTGAATTTGATTTCTATTTTTTTTTTAATCATTACAGAATCATTTTACTCGGTATACCTGTGGAATCAAGATAAAAATTAAAAATGCTTTTAAAATAAAACTTAAACGATTCCACTATGAAAAAAAAAAAAAAAAAATAGAAATCAAATTTACTTAAAACTCTCCATGAAAATTGTTGGTTCATTATAAAAAAAAAATTACATTGTATGTATATGAATGAGCTATGCTTAATGCATAATGAGTAAATAATTTTTTGAAATAAACTACTTGTAAACACATTGTGAAATAATCATATATAGCCTTGACAAAATTGCTATCCAACTTGAATGCAGTTAATATCAATTTTTAATATTTATGTTGATTATATTCCTATATTATATGTTATTATAAATTATAATTAATATCATATGGGGGGGACCAAACAAAATTTTTTTTGAAGATTAAATGGAAAAATGTCTAGACAGAGATTGGTAGATAGGGTGAAATCTAATATTGCTGAAATTTCCAAAGGAACAAAAATAGAAAACAGAGATAAAGGGTGATAGAGATAACAAAGGTTCTTCATGAAATGTGAAAGCTAATTGAAAATAATTATAACTAAATAATAACATTACTGATAAAATATGACTAACTATTATTATTACATAATATTATCTATGGCTAAGTATATTTAACCATTGTACTTATTAACATTATATTATTGTATTATTAATAGTTTTTGGTGGGTGTGGGGGAATCTGTATATTAACGGCAATTGTTATTTACTATTTTTGTGACAACTTGAATAAAATTGTGTTTGAAAAATGAATTATTTCCCTGTATCAATTTGATTCAATAATATAGTTTTAGTTGAATACTAGTATGTCCGATGTTTTAATTAAAATAAACAAAAGTTTATGTATTGATCATATTAATTACATTTTATTCTACAGATACAGAAAAAATCATTAAACATCAACAGAAAATAATTAACAAAACATTAGGATTCGAAATACTTGGTTCAGATATTATCACACCCGATGACATAATGTTTGCACCAACACCAAGTCATCCTACATTAAAAGTTAGTGTTGAATATAAATTTAAAATTGTATTTTTAATTATAAGGAAAAACCATCATTCATTTTTTATATCCTTGCTATTCAGAAAAAAGACTTAACAATATATTTGTCTATTCTCTGAATAACTAATATTATTAATATTTGCAAAAATAACATTTTTTTCTGTTTACTTGAATGAAAATACTACTAATTAATTATGTTCTCCTTTAATATTACTCTATATAATATTAATGCTTCCAAATTGGTGCCAAAAATATGGCTAATAGTTAAAAGTATTATCAATATTTGTATAAATATGTTTATTTTTTAGAGACAATTAAGCGAAGTTGTGCAAATAAATTCTGATATTGATAAAAGTTCTAGAGAAACGAATGTTGATAGACGAAAAGCCCGGCAAGCTGAACTAAAACTAGTCAAATCAGTATCTTTAGATGCTAGTTACACTGGAACTTCAAATTTATGCAAAAAAATTAAATTACTTGATAACAATGAAGAGGTAAATTCTATAAATAGTATTATTTTAACTCATTTAAATACTAGATTCTGAGCGGAATGAATAATGTAAGCAAAATAAAAAACTAGAAATAATCGTAAAACCCCTAAAAACTTGTATTAGCATTTATAATTCACATGGTATACATTTCAAAATATTTTGGGTTTTTTTTTTTTATAGTTAATTGAAGTTTTTGTGAAAAAAAATATTATGATTCTGTAATAGTGATTGAAAATTTGATCCAAGATTTATCATAAGTTGTTCTTACAGATCCAAGAGATAAAAGTAATATCATAGTTTTTTTTATATTGGTGTTTGACGTATATATTTTATTTCAAATTTGTTTGAAAAAAAATCTCAATAACAAATTTTCCCTTCCATGTGTGTATGTATAGCAACTTATGGAACAAATTTATAGATATATAATATCTATACATACAATTCACAAACTGACTTTTCAACTAGAGAGTGTTAGATTAAACTATGGTTATCATTGTTTAATCTTCTTTACTCTTAGAGTATCTTTAACATTTTACTCTAATTCTATATACCATGAATATTAAATTCATAAAAGTATGGAGTTTCATATTAAGAATTTATATATATATATGTATATATACAGGTGATTTTTTATCGCGAACCAGCAATTTTCTCTAGCGTTTTAAGCGAATTTGATTTCTGTTTTGTTCTTTTTAATCATTATGGAATCTGTTAAACTTTATTTTAAAATCATTTTTATTTTTACTCCTACTCTATGTACCTTAAATGAGTATATATTTTTATTTTTTAAATACAGATTTAAATAAAGGAGGAACTGTAATAAATTGCATGATTGCACTCTACCCCTACTTCTCCATTATACACTTTAAATGGTTATAACTCATAAATGGTAAATCTGATATCAGTGTTATGCATATCAAAATTTCTAAAAAAATATTCTTTGTTCAATCTGTTTAAAAAGGAGGAGGCTCCTATTTTAAAAATTAAAAATGGTTTCAAAATATTGCATAACATTGATACCATGGTTTTTTATTGAGCTTCTTTTATGAAACAGAAAATACACATTTAAATTGTGAGTGATAGTGAAGAAGCTATGTTTACACACACTTAAAGAATGATGATTTTTTATGTTATACCTTTAAAAATTTGAATTTTATGCCTGATGGTACTAGTACTTCATTTGAAGTTTTTTTTTTTTAATTTCCAGTATTTTCCCCAAAAAGTTAAATTGACATTAATGATAATAATACATTAACATTAATAAAACTGAAGTATTGTTATTAAACCAAAAGCAACTAATAGCAAATACAAATTGCAGCATCAGTTAGTAATAATAGTTCATGTACATCAAATATACCAAATAAAAACAGTACTAATAGTCATATCTAACTTTACCAATATACCGAGTTCTGCTCAGAATCTGTTTTTAATAGCAATAATTATTGCTGTTTTCAGTATATAAACTAAATTACTCTGTTTTATCTTATATCTTTTCAACTTCCTACTTATAACAGTATTCTTCTTACTAGCGCTAACTTGTATGTCAATTATAATTACAATTTATAAACATCCACAATCAGTGGCTTCCTATTTTTTTTGTCTATACTAACTTGTATTATTAATAAATATTACTTTTATTACAGATTGAAAATGATTGGCCTTTTAACAATTTTATCAACAGTTTGCATAAAGATCTATTCAGTTCTAAATGGGAAATACGTCACGGTGCTGCAACAGCTATTCGTGAAATTATTAAACATCATGGTCGAGGTGCTGGAAAAGCTAGTAATATACCATCAGACCAAGTATGTTAAATAGATAATTTTGTATACTTATTTTTTAATATTCATTTACTTAGCTTATAATTTATTAATAGATGGAAATTCATCACCAAGCGTGGTTGGAAGATATGGGTTTAAGATTATTATGTGTTCTTGCATTAGATCATTTTGGTGATTTTCTTGGCGACCAAGTTGTAGCACCTGTAAGAGAAACTTGTGCTCAAGCCTTAGGTATATAATTTTTGTATTATATGTAATTTTTTTTTTTTTTATGTGTAATAAAAAATTTTATTTACCATAACTAGGTTTTGTTGTTAAATTGATGTCTGAAGAAAATGTGTTGAATATAAATCATGTACTTCTACAACTTATCCAACATAATGATTGGACAACCAGACATGGTGGACTATTAGGACTGAAATATTTACTTGTTGTTAGAAAAGTAAGTTTAATAAATAAATAACTTTTATATAAAATATTGACCTTTTATTATCTTTGAAATCAACAATTTAGATTATATATTTTAAATATTATATTTAATCTAATAGTCTTATGTTCTATTAATTTAATTTTAGTAAACTTATCAACTCATATATTAATTATATTTTGTGTTATTATCAGGATCTGATTGAAAAAATATTACATTTGTCATTCCCATTTATATCTAAAGCTTTACTGGACCCTGTGGATGATGTAAGTGCTGTAGCTGCATCTGCTTTGTTGCCAATAGTTGACAGTATGATAAAATGTGATGAAAAATGGGCATCTGATGTAATATCTATTTTATGGAAAATGTTGGCCATTCAAGATGATTTAACTGCATCATGTAATAATTTTATGACTTTGTTGGCTGCATTGTTCAGCCTTCCATCTGGAAAGCTACAAACGTGAGTTCTATACTAACTTTCATTACACATAGTGTTTCTTTTGTCACTGAACATTTATTATTTCAAAAAGTATTGACTCGAAAAAAAATTGTTTAGACAATTTGATAAACATTTGTTTGTTTGTTTTGCATTTTTTGCTCTTTAATCTTCCATTTCCATTATTTTTTGTTTCTTTTATTTTTGAAGGTAAAACAGCTACCTATCTTTTCAACTTAAAAGTGGAATATCATGTCAACGAATTGACTGAAATCAATAATGTCAACACTAAAATGTATTTAAACTAATAATCTAATACGTAATGTATTTATGGTATTTTTAATATAAATTTAAAATCAAAAGTAGGTAGTCATTTCACCTCTTAAAATAAGGGTGACAAAAAATAATGGAAATTAACATTTTAAATCTGTTTATTTCTTAAGCTATCACACCTTTTTTTTTTTAAAAAAAATTATTATTCAATGATAAAAAAAATTCACCAATTTACATAAATATGTACACTGTAGTTCTTGATGGTTTAAAATCTAATAGTTAACATTTTAGAAACGAACCAATTCTTCATGTTTTACCTCGGCTTTGGTCGTTTCTATCACATAACGCAACTCAAGTGAGATTAGCTACTATGAAATCTTTAATGACATTAACTTCGACCCCACCATTATCATTTTCCGATGAACTTGAAGATATAAAATTGCTTCAAGATGCTATGAGACATATTTTCCAGAGAGCAATGGCCGAAACAGATCAAGAAATACAAAAAATCATAAAAGAAGTTTGTTTTCTTAAAAAAAAAATCTAATACAGCTCATATTTCTTCAACAATCTATTTATTTTATTTATTTTTAAATTAGGTTTGGTCTAATTTAATAGTCAACAGTAGCCTAACAGCTCTTTTAAATGCTGCTTGTCCATACATAGGACTATGGTTAGCAATGACAATGCAGTCAGAAAAAATACCCTATGATGCATCCAGTATTGTCCAGCATATTGCAACTGCAACTAGTAATGTAATTTTTTACCTTAACTATGTATACATTTATTTATTTTATGTTTCTAATTAAAGTTTAAACATTTGTATTTATTTTTACTATTCAAGGCTGATAATATATCAAGTATAACAAGCAATACAACTATAGATATTAAATACTATATTGGTGGTAGTGAGGCAATTCCAGTAGATCTAAGAGAAAAAAATGCAATTAGAGTAAGACATATAGGAGCAGAAATGTTGGGTATGTTCCTTTCAATTATTAATATTTGTATCAAATAATATATCATCTAATATAATTCTGATTCACAGGTCTATTATCTTGTTATATCATTAAACCAGCACCTAACGTCAATTACAAAAATGAAAATGAATCGCCTGTTACATGCTACACAAAATTATTAATCAGTAATTTAGAATCAAATGTAGCTATACAACAAAGAATGGCCTCTATGGTGATATCAGAGTGGTGTAAATTACAAAAAATAGAAAATTCAGCTTCAAAAATATTATCTGAAAAAATAACAGATTGCATGAATCGCATGATTTACTATGACGAAATGTCATACTCAATAACTAGGCTTATACAAGATGCTCATGATTTCCTCGCATCACTAAAACATTATAAATTGCCTACTCCACCACAAATAAATCAAGTATGTGTATAGATACAAGTTTATGATTTTACATTTATCATGCCATTTACTATGTTACTATAAATATAGATTGTTTAGTTATTCATAAAACTTAAAATATACAATTGTGTTATACATTTTACCTAGTCTTTATTTAAATGCTAAATTTGCTTTTCAATTATTATGATTGATGGTCACAATTGGCTTTATCATTTATTTTTTAAATTTAGAGAACTGTTGATTGATAGCTGTTATAGACACATTAACAGTTGGCGATTTACAGACATTTTTAATCACAAAATGTTTATTAGTAGAAAAATCTGATTTAAGATTTAAGAACTTAATTTAAGTAATTTCACAGAATTTATCTATATCTTTATACCTTCTCTGTTATTTTATACATATGTAATGTGCATGTCATTGACATTATATTCAATTTTAACTACTTGTATATTTTATTATTTTATCTAAGATTGTAACTTTGGAACACATTGAAATACTTACTGGATCAAAAATAGAAATGTTAATTTTATCTCAAAAGATTAGACCTAAAATAATTGAGCAACTTGAGGACAGGCGTACTTCTTTAAATCAAGCACATAAACTGATATGTTCTGATCTCAATTCTTTAACTGTATCGTAAGTAATAAAATACTACTTCCTAAGGAATTAAATCATTTTTATTTTGTACATTGTTCATTAACTTAGGACTAAAGCATCATTAGCAGGTGCATTAACTATGCTTCAATGTTTACCAGAAAAAATACGACCTGTTGTTAAACCATTAATGGAATCCATCAAAAAAGAATCTAATGAAATATTACAAGTAATATAAACACTTATTTAATATTTACATATTTAATAAATATGTTGAATTAATAATAATGTTAATTTAATTTTTTTAGCATTGGTCTGCTGACCATTTGGCTATTTTGATGGATTTATGTGTCAATCGCTCTTCGTGTCCCAACACAACCATTATTAATAATTTATGTTCTTTTCTATGTGTTGATCCAGAATTCACACCAAAATTAGTAAGTCAATGTTAAAAAAAAAAAAAATACTATAAATATATATGATTATTTATTTTTATATGACTAAAAGAATTTGATTGAACAACAATAAAGTTGCGAAAATAGAACAATTAGTAATAATTTAAGTGTAATTGGTGATGTCACATGTCCAAGTCCAGTTTATTTATCCATTCGTAATTTCTTTAGTCGCATCAATCATTTATTCCATCTATAAAGCTGTTTACTGTTACATCTTCATTATCCTATGTAGAACCTATTCCGCTGCACCTATGACTCCTGGGTTGTGGTATTTTGATGTTCTTTATCAGTTACATCAACTGATTTTTTTTCTTATAACTTTCTCATCCCATAAATTAAAGTTAAACCATCCTCTCTACTTTTTTTTTTCTACTCTTTAAATGACTCCAGAGTATTAATTTTGATTTCTACATACCATTTTTGTGAAGTCTTATAGGTCTTAATTTCTACTTATTATATAACTATATAAGCTTAGGGTTGTATTTTTTCTTTTTATTTGATATAGTTCTATTGTAGACAATATCGATCTATAAGTGACTGTCCTAAAACCAACCTGGTTTTGTATGTAGTAACACTCTATATCTGGTAAAATGCAATTAAATGTCACCTTTTTGTAAGTTTGAACATGGCACGTGATAGTAGCTATTTGGTTACTCAAGGTTTTTCCTTGGTTTCAGTATGGCAATTACTCAAGCTTCCTTCTAAATGCAAGGTACATTACCTGTAATGAAGATTTGGAAAATTATGTCTACCGACAAGTTCAAGGTCTAGGTCTAAGTGATATAGAATCTCCAAGTGTATATTGTCTTTGTTGGAACCTTAGCCATTTTGATCTCTTTAATCAATAAAATTTTGACATATTTACATATTTTTGTTAAAACTAATTTATACTTATTTTTGAAGAAAAATAAATTGAGACTTTTATATATTTTTACTAATATCTATAATCTTTGTTTATTTAGGGTGCTGATGATAAAATAAAATACCAGTTAATTCTCATGCACCAAAAGTTATTGCAAGTAAGATTTTAATATTTAAAAATGTTGAAATTTATAGTTAAAATAATAATAATTTTTACAGAATGCTGAAAAATTGTTAATGAAACGTACTGGACAAAGGGGATCGGGAAGGCCTCCTATACATTGTGATATAAATGTTGAAATCGTACTAAGTGAAGAAGATCTGGTTATTATTATATTTATTAATTAAATTAAACAAATATTTAAACATTTTCCTTAAAATTCAAAAACTCAATTTTAGTAACTTATTCATTTTATATAAGTTAGTATTTTTTAAATAAAATCATTAAACAATAAAATAACCTTTCTAAGTACAATACCATTTGGTACAATAATTATTAATTATCTATAAATTACTATATGCAATATTTTGACTTCACTTACTGCTCAAAAATTGTAATAGGTATTTCCTTGTAGCTCCTATGATTTTCAAAGAATATGAAACAAAATTGTTTCAAAGCTATTTTTAAATTTGTCTTGTATTATTTAATATATGTAAAACATATTCTAGGAACATAAACAGACTAATTATATCCAAAGACGAGGTGCATTATATGCTTTACAAACTATTTGTTCGCATTTTGGTGACCAATTACAAAACAAACTACCAAGACTTATTGAAATAATGTACCACAATATAAAAAATATTATATTTCCTGAAAATGATCCAAGTAAGGTCCATGATATAATTAATGATATATCAAGATAAATATGTATTATTTTTATTTGTTCATTTGTTTTATTTTTAGATTTAAATACTTTTAGAGAAAAAGATAATGAAGCACAAGAACTAATTAAAAATTTACAAGTGTTTGAAGTAGTTTGTTCAAAAATGCATAAATGTTATGTCCCAAAAGTAATAGTCCAGTTATAGTATTAAAATATTTATCTAATACCATATTGCATTATATTTAATTGTATAATATATAATGTACAAACTAAAAAAGTATTTACTTTTCAGCTATTGGAGTTGCTACCGATATTTACCAAGCTACTTGTTCATCCATATTCAGCTGTTAGACATATAGCTGCTCGGTGTTTAGCTGCATCTGTAGAATTAGATTCTGTAATTACTATGACAATTGTTATAAATGATATTTTACCACTGCTTGACGCAACAGACAGTGATATAAAACGAAAAGGGGCTATTGAAGCAGTTGTTTGTATAGTTGATAAGTTGCAATTTGAGATTGTTTATTATATTGCCATATTAATTATTCCCCTTTTAGGTAAAATACATATTCATATTATTATATTGATTAAAGATATTTTTTAAATTTGGTATTTTTATCATAGGTCGTTTAAGTGATCAAGAAGAAAGTGTACGTAAAATGTCATCGCAATGTTTTGCAACTCTAATTCAATTAATGCCACTTGATGGCAGTATGTCAGTTCCACCAAATTTAAGTAATAACATGATTACATTAATTCAATCAAAGCGGCAATTTTTAGATCAACTTTTTAATCCTAATCAAATAAATGATTACAAAGTCCCAATAATGATAAATGCTAAATTAAGATCCTATCAGCAGACAGGTGTGAATTGGTTAGCTTTTTTGAATAAGTATAAACTACATGGAATTTTATGCGACGATATGGGTTTGGGAAAAACTATACAGTCGTTGTGTATACTCGCTAGTGATCATTACAATAAAAATGAAAAGTATAAGGTAACAAATAATAGATTATGCAAAATATCTATTTATCTACAATCAAAATGTAAAATGTATTTAGAAAACTGGCAGTCCGGATTCAGTTCCTCTACCATCTATTGTAGTTTGTCCACCGACATTAATTGGTCATTGGACACACGAAGTACAAAAGTTTATTCCGAAAGACATACTAAGACCATTACAATACTCTGGATTGCCTGTAGAAAGACAAAAGTAAAATAAATACTAATTGTTTTAAATTTGTATACATAATTTTAAAAATTAATATTTTATTATATACTACTGTTTTAGACTGCGAGTGTATGCTGATGATTATAATTTATTTGTAGTCTCTTATGATATAGTTCGTAAAGATATAGATTTTTTTTCAAAAATAAAATTCAATTATTGCATATTAGATGAATGTCATATTATAAAAAATGGAAAGACCAAAGCCAGTCAAGCGATTAAACAGCTGAGAGCAAATCATCGTTTAGTTTTATCTGGAACTCCAATTCAGAATAGTGTTTTAGAATTATGGTCATTGTTTGATTTTCTAATGCCAGGATTTTTGGGCACAGAAAAACAATTTGCTGCAAAATATAGTAAACCAATTTTAGCAAGTCGAGATGCTAAATGTTCATCAAAAGAACAAGAGGCTGGTGAGTTAAACTTACATAATAACTATTAATATTAGAAATCCAAAAAATATTTATTTAACATAATTTGTAAAAGTATAATTAAAATCCATTATTATTTTTAAATCATAGTGTTCTTCATTAATATGAATTGTCCAATTAACATTTATCAAGAATAACATTAAAAATAATAATAATTTAGTAAACAAATTATTTCATTACATTTAAATTTACTCTTGTTGTATCTAGTTTTTTAAGTACTACTACAATTTATACAAAGTAATCAATCCTCAACAAGGTGCTGATTATCATGGAAAGTTTTTACTTTTTCCAAATTTTTTTTAGTAGAAAAATTAAATAACTAGTATCTCTAAAATATTTTTGGAAGTGAAATGGCTAACTACTTTTAATTTTCAAATGTCCACCCTAAATTTAAAATCTAATAAAAAGATGGAATATTAGTTTAAAATGTTAAATTATTATTAGTGTTCAAATTTTTGATTTCCATCTAGTCATTGATAAGATATTCCACTTTCTAAGTTTAGGTAGAGAGAAAGTAGTGTAGCACTATTTACATACATTGTGTCACCACTCAAATGATGTTCCACTATTCACCCCTACTCAAACATAAAAGTGAAATCAGGATTTATTACATTATGTTTAAAACTGAATTTTTTTATTCTCTTAAAACTTTTAAAATATAAAAAAATACCACATTTCTATTGGTTTACTATTTATTTTCAATTTTGTGAATAACAACTAATCAATTTTTTTTTACATATATATGTAAAATATATATTCTGGAAAAAGTAAATACTTTCTGAGATAATGAGTTTCTTATCTAGGATTGATCACTCTGTATACCATAAAAATGTGCTAATGTTAGCCATTAGGTTAATGGTAACAGAAATTTCTGTAATTTCTTACATCTAAATGTGTTTTGATTATATAACACCTTAGACAAATTTTTTTTTTTTCAACTAATAATTATTATTTTAATTTTCAATAATTTTGAAAATAATTTAATAAATCTTAACATTCATTACTAAAATTTAAAATTGCTTTCTATAATATTGTTGTATTTTCAGTTTTTTACCATTTACAAACTAATGTTAGAAAATCCTCCCAGAAGTACCATTTATATGCATTTACTTGCTATGTATAAAATTGTTGAAAAGTGAAAAAAATGAACAGATAGCTCTAAAATTACTCTTGCATTGTATAGAAACTCAACTATTGTAGACTTATTATATTTATAGTTCATTGAATTAAATAATTTGAATTATATTTTAAATAACATGAATTATTCAATTTTATAGGAGTTTTAGCAATGGAAGCATTACACCGTCAAGTTTTACCATTTGTTTTACGTAGAATGAAAGAAGATGTGTTAAGTGATTTGCCTGCTAAAATTACTCAGGTAAATAAAATATACTTCTATACTTTAAAAATAAAAGAGTTCAAGTTATTCTACTTAACAAAATACAGGATTATTATTGTGATTTGAGCCCTATTCAAACACTGCTTTATGAAGATTTTTCGAAAACACATATACATAAACATTTAACAAATTCTGAAACTGGCAGTTCTCATGATTCAAATAAAAACAATATGCTACAAGTAAATTATACAAATTATATTTTAGTTGATAATTATTTACTTAATACAAATAATGTATTTTATATTACAGGCACTGCGTTACTTACAAAATGTATGTAATCATCCAAAACTAGTCCTTACCCCACAACATCCTCAGTATTCTCATATAATTAAGCAAATTTCAGAATCTAATTCTAGTCTAACCGATATACAACATGCTGCTAAATTACCAGCCTTAAAGTAAATTAATACATTTTTTTTTTTTTTTATAATTTCTAAATAATGTTTTTGTATTAATTTAAAATGCAATTTTAGGCAACTTTTATTGGATTGTGGTATTGGATTACCAAGTAATGATGAAACTGTAATAAGTCAACATAGAGCTTTAATATTCTGTCAGCTCAAATCCATGTTGACTATCATTGAAAATGATCTCTTTAAGTAAATGATATATTTTTTTAAATTTCAAATTCAATCAAAAGATAATTCATTTTTATTTGTAGGGCCCACATGCCAAATGTTAGTTACCTTCGTCTCGATGGTAGTGTACCTGTATCTCAAAGGTATTCACTTGTTAATCGATTTAATGTTGATCCGTCAATTGATACACTTATAATGACTACACAAGTAGGAGGCTTGGGTTTAAATTTAACTGGAGCAGATACGGTATGAAACAACATTTTACAATTATTGAAAGCTTAATGTACTCAATAAGCAATATGCTGCAGGTAATATTTGTAGAACACGATTGGAGTCCTATGAGAGATCTACAAGCGATGGATCGTGCACACCGTATTGGTCAGAAAAAAGTTGTCAATGTCTATCGTTTAATAACAAGATCAACACTGGAAGAAAAAATAATGAAGTATTTATTATTATGGCAAATAGATACAATGTATGTTTTTGTATTTATATTATGTACATTTATTTCAGTTTTCAAAAGTTTAAACTAAAAACTGCCAATACAGTAATATCATCTGAAAATTCAAGTCTTCAAACTATGGGAACTGATAAAGTATTAAAATTATATAAAAAATGTATATAAATATATTAATATTGATGCTTTTGTTTTCAGTTATTAGATTTATTCTCTTTAAATGACTCAACAAAAGAAAAAAATAAACCAAGTTCATCGAGTGGTTCCATAAAATCTGTTCTTGAAACATTGCCAGAACTTTGGGATACTAAGATTTATGATGACGAATATGATTTAAACAGTTTTGTTCAAACTTTAAATCAAGCTTAATCATATTCTAAAAATGTTATTATAGACTTAAACATTGATTATTGATTAATTTACACATTTAATTTTCTTTATTTAAATCTAGTGAAAACAAACCAAAAATTAGGCTTTTAATTTCAATTCAACTATAATCATTTAACTCAATCAATTGCTTAAATTATTTTGTACTCTTTATGTAATAAATGTTTTTTTTTTTTTTTTTTTGTATTTGTATATAACAATCTTTATTTATATGTCATTGCATAATAACAAAACTCCACTAAATTTCAGAGTCAGGAAACTTAGTTTTGTTACTTTGTCAACATATAATATCATGCCTATAATTACAATCATGGAATTCCACTCTATGGTGCCTGAAAATTATAAGGTTCCTTGTATCAATAACTATTTTAAATTCTGAGCGTAGCGAAGGAGCTAATAGTTTTACTTTGATTTATTTTTTATTTTTTTTCTAGTTTGGACACGTTTTTTCCTAGTGAACTTGTAGCATGTAACAATGTAACTTTACCTGTAGCATCTTTTCTAAAAGCTCAAGATGGTACTTTAGAGAGGTCATTTTTTGATTTTCGACACCATTTTTTAAATAAAAGCACTTGAGTGGAAAAAAAGTAGGAAAACTTACAATTTTACTACCAAAAAAAAATGATTTGATCGAAAAATTATAAGGCATCTTTTTTATTGCTTTTTTTGATTTACTTTCTTACAGTATCATTGCCAAAACTTAAGCCACTTTTGAGCTATTAAGGAATTTTGTTATATATTAATTTAATTATATTAAAAATTTTTTTTTCTGTAATTGGGTTATAAATACACATAGAGACTTAAAACTTGATAATAATAGTTATATTGGACTTATTTAGACGTGATAAAATTTTCAAAATCAATGGACGACTTATTTTATTAAGCCTTTTGAAATCAAATTTAAACAAAAATCAAAAAACAAAGTTATGGCACTTCAAATTATGTATTACCGAACTGCAATCGGAATCGTCTTTCGTCAGCAATGGTTTATCCTCGCTTACAGAAATAAATGAAATAACCTTATGTATCCTACCTTCCCAACTTCTCACCCTACAACAGTGGCAGCTCACACCCCCAGTATCTGTTCTTTTTTTTTTTTATTGTGCTGCTACCTATTCTTCCTGACATTGTAATTTTTGTTTACAAAGAAAAATTTGTACTATTTATTCATAAGGTGGTTTACTCACTAAAAATATGATTATTTGTTTTAAATTTTATTCTTGTTCTACATTCACAACCACTATTCAGTATTTAGAGGATGTCATACCCGCGTTCTGTCTCAGTCCAACTTGCGGGCAATAAAGCAAAATTTACCTTACACAGACTGTAGAATTAGCTTAATTAGATTAAAATCACATATTGTAAAGTTAAAAGGACAATATTTTGGAGGGCAAGACCGAGTTTTTTCTACTTTGATTATTATTCTAAATATAATGTCCAATACATCATTTAGATAATAAAGACTAATTCGTTGTTTTAAAATTAACTACCATTTCAAAAAATGTATTTAAAATACGAAACGCACCGTCTTGCTCTTCAAATTATTGCCCTCTTTTAATTGTATAGTGGATGCTTTTCTTCTAAAATCAAAATTAAGGGAGTTCTACATAACTAGTCTGCGTGATGTACCTAGATTTTACTATATTGCAAACTGAAACAGCACATGTGGCTAACTTTCTCTTAAGGAAAAGATTTCTTAGTTTACCTTTATGTTAATGGTTCAGTAGGATTTCTAATGGTTATTAATAATTTTTATAATCTACTATTTTTCAAAATGATAAAATAGAACATAGGATTTTGAGGGATGGGGGGGGGTCACGAGTACCCAGTACTCTCTCTGAGTACAGTACAACACTGCATCATGAAGGATAAAGTGTAATAGGTACAAAATATGATAAAATATAATCAAGTTTAGACATTTTTCGGAAATATGCAAGGTCGATTTGTTGAAAGAATATTTAAAATACGTAGGTACCTATTTTCGACACACAAGTAGTAATAACAAAACATCACTTACATATCCCGTCAGAGGCAAGTGGTGTGAAAATAATATTTATAAATATTGCATGTTCATTGTTCACAATACAATAAGTTAATCGTATTATATTACATAATTTGGTGGGAATGCGGGCGGACAAATAAAGTATTTTATCGGTCTACGGAGTTTGTACGGACATCGAAACATAGGACAAAACAAAATATTAATTATCTTGTGATCGAAGTAGGTGATTAATAATAGCAGGCAGGTACCTACTTACCTAATGAATAATAACACATAATGTTCATAATTACAATTATTAGATATCTACTTACCTGAAATTACTTTGATGCGCTAATTATAATGAATCGTAAAACAGAAATGTTTTCTTTTTCAATAAATACGAAATAAAATATACCGCGGGTATTATTGTAATATTGAAAAACCAAAATAATCGAAGATAGGCGTATTTCGTTCGACCAGTATTTTAACCGAAAAAAATGATATGAAATTGTCGGGAACGCGTATATTTTCTCGGAAATAACCGAATGAACATAACAAATAGATAGATATGTACTGAACAGTTGACAATAGGTACATCATGAATATTAAAATATAATGTGGTTGTACTAATACAGTAGAAAATGCGTTGGGCGAAAAATAAGTGTTGGTAATTACGAAGAAATCTATTTTATTCGAAAAATATGTTACCTATTTGAAAGAACACGCGAGATTTTTTTCTAAAACACAATTTTAATAAAATACCTATTCAGTTTGGACGGTTTTTTCTTATCCATTTATCTTTTTCAAGTTTTCACTTTTTTTTCTTCTTTCGATATTAATGGCCTACTACGTTGTAAATATTTTCAAAATGTAATTGTTAGTATTGAAAACTTTAAAAAAATTGTATTTTCCATTCAAGCCGTTCTTCTCTAGCCGACCAAAGAAATAACGACCTACTTATAATGCTCGTATATAATACGAATTTCTATGCAAATATTTGTTGGATATTTTTCATAGACAGTGATGGCGTGCCCGTAAATTTTCAATGGGAAGGGATGTCGTAAATAATAATTACGATTCGTGAATAAACCGCAGAATCGTCTTCGATTGTAGGTATATCTACAAAACTAATGAAATTTAAAAGCCGGATCCGAAAAAATCCAATTTTTAAAATTCAAAACTTAAGCTTTTTTTTCTTGTAACTTGGCTGAAATGTGTAAAATTTCATGATAAAATAACTCATATAGTTGTATTTTTCGCGAATAGGGGTGAGGGTATTGAATAGGGGTGGAGGGTGAAGTGCCCCATCGCACGCCACTGTATTCAAGTTATAATAGTTCTCTAAAGACCGTCTACTTCGGATTTGACAACGACGGCGGAACGATTGTGCAGGTTTTCAAAATTGGTACGTGTACGACCGCTATAGGTATACGTCACACGAATTTTCAACGTGTTGAAAATTACTTTAATTAGATGCCATAACAGGTTTGAGAATATTGCCGGATTTTTCGAAAATATCACAGGTGACGGAAGACACGAATGGAGGGAGAAAAGTAGTAATAAAATATAAATTTTCATTACGGTGGCCGGGTGGCGACCAAACACCGAACTGGAACGAAGTGCGAATTGATCGGCGAATTTATTTGACGTCTGCGCAAATGTCCCGCGTCCCATGTCACGATCATCAATGGGCGGAGGGTGGTTGTGCTATAAGCCGGTCGGCAATAGGACGCGCGCTCGCGCGCGCGCGCACACGCTGACAGTTGGCCACACTGTCGATGTACCGCTATGCGCTCGGCGTCGGTTTCCGCCATTTTAGTTGCGGCTTTCGTCAACGTCCTCTTTACCGTGACGTCGTATTGAAATTTTCGTTCTGCGGTTCGTCAATTGTTTAGCGGTTCGATCGTCTCATACTGAAGCGTTCACTTAGTAGCCATCACCGAGTCCGAATTCTGTGTATTCAGTGACGCCGGAATCCAAATTAAACAACGCAAATTTCGTAAGTATATTATAACATTATTTACATGCCGCTCGCTTGGACTCTCCGCCAACGCGTGACCGGCACCGTGAACACGTCGAGTATTTTCCCACGATCTATCGGGTTAGTGAAGAGTCGGCATTATATTTCATTGGCGTTTGTTTTCACGAACAATAATGATTGTTGACGTTCGGACCGTCAGTCCGTTTAACTGCACAAATCTCATGGTCTAATTTCGCAATATGACAATAATTAGGTAGCCTACACCACCCCCTCTTTACCGGTTATCGGCGCTGATTTGTAAACGATTCTTTTTATTTATTATGTATATTCATTAATCATTGGCCGTAACTAGTAAGTCAGCGTACAACTCATAATTACACAAATCGACCATCATTACTGATACTTGATAGCTAACGACGCGCTTAACATACAGTAATAATGGTCGTTATAACTGGGTTTGTTTTTGTTGACCATTGTCTTGTAAATCATCGTCATTAAATATGTGTTGATCTGACCTATAACTTCCACATTAATGTTTGAGGTCTCTAGTCATTTTTACCCGTTTTCGGTTTTTTTTCTATTAACAGCTATACAAGTATGCCATTATATGCTTTCTTTTCTTTTTTTTACCTGAATCATTAAATTGTATACATATTTATTAATAAGCTATGTGATTGTATTTGTATTCAAAATTGAGTAATGGTAAATGTCGCATTTTATGCTGATAGTTATAAATAGGGTTAGGATGCTAGTGCACTAAAAAATATATACGTTTATATGTATTAATGCTCTTAAAAACAGCTAAATATGCATTTAAAAATAAAGAAATGTGTTCGCAAATCATGCAATAAATATAGACAAATTTGTTTACAATAGTATATAAACAAATTGGGTACCTACCTATTTTGTTATCGTTTTATTAATTATTTAATTTACATATTATTACTGTGTTAAAATAAATATGTCACAATCGATCTATGAATTTCATTTAAGTAGGTACCTTCACTCCGTTTGCCCATTTCAAATTCTTAACAATAAATAAGTGATAATTTGTATACAATCTTTATAAAATACAAATAGTCAAACTTTTATTAGATTTAGTTAATAAAATATAAAATTATATTATTTTTATTACAATATTATTTGTTTGATAGGTATTACACATATTGTAATTTCATACATATATATGTGTATATACAGTCAAATTCCTGTATAACGATGCCGTATATAACAATATTCCGGGTAAAATGATTCCAATCAATGTATTTGGTTGGTTTTATATGTTTTATATAATACTTTTATTCGTATATAACGATAATCCGGATATAGTGATGTTATTTTAAAACGAAAATTGGTTTTTATAATCCATAGCAATTAATAATATGCAATATGCGATTAATAATAAGCAATTAATAATTTTTTTTATCAAGAGCTCATTTATTTAATCCAGGTCTGAATACTGTTTGATACCTAACTTAATATTTTTACTAACTGTTATACATTTTATATTACAGTTAGTTTTTTAAAATAACATGGCACTATCTATCATTATTTCAGAGGTTTATCAACAAGCACCAAATATTGTAATATTAATTTCAAGTATGTAGTCTGTTCTTTTTGTATAACAAATACAATATTGTATTTACAACATTTTTTTTTTTTTTGTCACATATTCTCATAATTTGTTCTTAAATGTTTTTAGATCCTTGAGGTAAAAATTCATTTTTTTTAGTTTAGTTATTTTAGAAAATTTAAGTTCATATTGAAATAGAACCAAAAGAAAAACTATATCATGTTTGAATTCTAATTTTATTACTTACAGATAAAGAATATCAAATGATTTCTAGTTTTTAAAACTACTGATATTTTATTTATATATATATATATATATGTACTTAGTAATAACATTTATAGTAATAAAATATAATATTTTAAACAATTATTTAGATTATGTAATTTGTATTCTAAACATTAGGTAATTATCAAAAATTAATTTGCATTAAAGTTATTACATGATAAGTATTTTTTAATAATTGTATTTCATTTACAGAAAAATGTCTTACAATCGTAGAAGTGGTGGTAGTTATGGAGGCGGTGCTGGTGGAAACTTTGGCAATTCTTACAGCCAAGGTGGTAATAATTACAGTGGTTCAGGAAGTTATGGAGGCAGTGGTGGTGGCAATTACAGTGGAGGCGGCGGTGGCCGTTTTAATAACTTCAGCAACTATGGTAGGAATCCTAAGATGAGCCCTTGGGAATCTGGTGTATCTCCAGGAGGTGGAATGATGCCAAATGTTCATCCAAATCAAATGGCACTTGCAAGTGACTTATTGTCAAAACTTTTAGCTCCTAATCAGGTATTTGATAGTAGTTTTGTAAATAGTACATATAATACTATGCAAATTTAACCATAGAAAAATGTAAATATGTTGTGTTATCCCTCTAATTTTGATATGAAGTCATTGAATCAAATTTAAATATTTCAGGGCGGATATGGAGGCAGTCAAAATTGGGGCCCAAATCCTGGAATGATGAGAAGACAGGAATCATTTAAGGTAAAATTAGGTTTCATTTCAAAAACATAGTATATACGATTTTAGTCACTACACAATAATTATATTTAAAGAAAAAAAAAAAATTTGATAGGTTTTAAAATAATCCTAATAGTACCTATTAGGGAATTATTTATAATAGGTTTTTGTACAGTATTTAAACATATTTATATAGTACTTGTATATCTTAATTTTCTATAATAATGATTTCGATTTGCCAATTACTTTTACTGCTGAGCGTTTTAGCTAATCTGAGTTTGGCCTGTTGCCGTTGGCAATTTGAATTCTGGAGCTGGCTGATTCGTTTCGCTGGCAATCGAATTATCGAACAAATTTCATAATCTCATCTGAGTTTGTTTTTCATTTGTTGTGCTCTATCGAATCTCTCTGTTCCTGGCACAATAATTGATTGGTTGTTTGATAACCGCCAGAACCAAAACCGGCGCAGGCCTGATAATCGCAATCGTAGACCTCCTCCAAAAAAGGACGATAAGAAAAAGGATTCTAAACCTGAAGCGGATAAAAATGATCAGAGGTAAGGATTCATTTCATAAAGTCTATTATTCCGGATTTATATAAATATATATTTATATATGTCTTCGCTGCTATTTTTACAAGCATTTGGCAACTTCTTCATTTAAATTATTTTATCCGCCCATAATTCCATTCCATTTTATTGAAATATTAGACGAATAGGAATTATTATTTTCTACTATTTTAACCCTTATGATTTGTACTCTTCTTTATACATAATTTTGTATTCTTTATAAAATTAATACATTTTAATGAGTTCAAATACCTATTTTATAACTCTTATGTAAAAATAAACCCTTAAGTATAAGGAACATCAAGTAAGTATTTGTTATGTTTGTGTATAAACTACAATTGGTTTGTATTACTATTTATTTTATTTAACTAAATATTTATAGTTTTAGTAATAATATACGGGGGTTTATATATAATTTAAGTTTTCTTTAATTTATGAAAAGTATTGTTTAATCTAGTAATGTAAAATTCCTGTAAAAATTGTCTTATATATTTTTCAAAATTAGGGTCTGGATTTAATTGCCTTACAATTTTAAAAAATGCTCTAATATAGAAATAAAACATGAGTATGAAAAATAATAATTTCACTCTTGTGTAATTGTTTGAACCCTGGTGATAAGCAACAGTTCTTAACCAATATAAAATGTTATGGAAATTTTAAATAAAACTGAGCAATCTGTACAAATGAAGATTACTTATAACGTGTAAAACTCAATTCATTTGTTGATAATTTATAGAAAGTATTGTCTTAAATTTCACTGCATTGAAATCTGGGCCCTAGTTATATTTTATTGTATGTCCTATTAAAATGGGTGAATAACCCATAATTTTTGTTTCAACAGAAGTTGCATATCAATTCCCATTGTTAATTTTAAAATACTCGCTGCTTAAATCACTAGTTAAATCAAAATATCTAATGTTCTGTACAAATATTCAAGTTTAATTAATTTGGTTATTATGTTAAAGTTCATCATTATTTTGAAATCTAAATTGGAGAAAAGAAGCTGATTTTTAAAAAAATGTATATATCTAGAGTACTATACAAATTTATATGTTGTTTTTTACTTCGAGATTATTTTTGTAATCAATTGATTTTACTTTCGGTTCATGGTACCCAAATAATTATATCCTTATGCTGGTTGCATAAGTGATCAATAACTGTAACTGATTATTTAATTAATAGGGAATGGATTTATTTAATAAGAATAATAAATAAATATCATACAGTTATGCTATTTTTAACAGTTTGCTATTTTCTGATGATATAATCATTACATAATTATTTCCTTATAATTATATTTTCAATAAACTTCTCCTTACATTTGTTGTTTCTACAATGGACATCCAAATGAGCCCACCTTGAATCATAACTATTTAAAGAAGGTTTTTCTTGATAAATGTCTCAGAAATAATTTTTTTTATTGCCAACTGCTTAGGCCCATATATTTTTTTATCAAGGTCAATGTGAAAAACTGACTTTATTTCTAGATGTTGGTGTTTATTAGAAGTTTTGTTTAGATTTTTCATATATTGTAAATTAAAGACAGCTGAGGCTGGTTTTTCACATACGACTAAAAGTAAAACTTTTAAATATTTTGTTCAGAAATTTATTAATGTTGCAAATATTATATCAATTACATCTAAAATTATTCTATTAGAATTTGTGTTGGTACAAACAATTATAGCCATTCATAAACTAAAGACCTATTGCTTTTCAACAAATGTAAATCGTTTATAAATATATACAAGATTAGCTCTTATATTGCACTGGAAGGATAGTCAGAAAGGTAGCTAAAAGTTTAAATTGCAACAATATACTGATAAATGGCTGTTTACGTTCACTACGTAATATGGCATAAATAGGCAAAATGAAATGATAACACCTGTTAAAAATATTTGCAAATTAGTTAAAATTGGTGTAATTTTAAATTTTTAAAATTTCTAATCAAATTTTAAAGATCTTACTATATATACTATATGCATTTATATAGTAAATCCGTTCCCTACTAATCGATAACAATTTCGATAAAATTAATTTTACACTGTTGCTGTAACAGCTTTTATCGATTCGACAAATAACCTTTTAATTGATATAGAGTATTGAAACAATTCTCTAATTTTATTGAACTAATACACAGTTTATTTTTGATATTGTGGATCTTTTTAATTATTTTATAATTTAACTATGAATCTATAAATAAAGCATCTTCATTAAATTCTATCATTAAAATTATGATTTCAATAAATTTATGAAGAAAGATTTATGTAATAAGGCTTTATTTAATAGATACAATAATGTTCTAAAATTTATCTATTCTATATCTGTAAGTTATCAAACTGTATAGATCTTTTATGTAACCTGTCATTAGTATGTATTATTTTAATGTTGTAATTGATACATTAATTATCTCTTAGATTTTTTTTTTATTATTATTGTATTTATATTTTACTTCCGTGTAGACAATTTTAACCAGTAAAAATAATTATCTAATTTTAAATTAAAATTTATTTTGTTGATATACTTATTGATATTATTCTATATGTTGTTTAAATATATGTATTATGGGAAGATTTCTTATGTTATTTTTTTTAAAAAAAAATTCTACGATTACTTACTCATTTTGATGGTTTTATAATTTCTAAAATATATTTGAAAAATATTTATATTATAAAACTTCTTAAAATAAGACATCAAAGTATTTATATTCATGTAAATTATTAGAGTAAAATATTTTAATAACAGCATAAATGATGAGTTAATCATTTTAAAATTAAAATAGTAATAATACAAATTTACAAGTTTATATACCCATTTCTTATTAAAAATTATTCTCTTTTCTGTCAATTTTGTCTTTAATGCTGCTATGTCCTCCTCAGCTATAGATTGTAAACAATTTTTGTACACATTTTTAATTGTACAATAAGTTGATATATCATACATCACTATTTTTTATAGATATACAAAGAAAATACTTTGAATGTGTATTAAATAATTTATTTTTATTCTTAATTTAGTATTTTAATATTGAATCAATATTGTGGACATATTTTTTATATCACTAAAAATATAATAATTTATCTAGTTTATTAAATTATGATTTTGTCAAATACTGAAATTCTTAATACAATTATATATAAGTAACTGTGGGTATTTTGTTATAATATAAGTTCAATAAAGTGATATTTTTTTTTTTTTTTGTGATTTGTTTATACTTAAAACATCAAAACTTATTGAAGACATAGTTATATTGTATATTTCGGATTTTTTTTTTCTAATTCATTGTGTTACATTTATATTTTCATAACAAAATATTTAAATAAGTATTGTATAGCAAATATTTCTATAAATTTATATTTCGTACTTAAAACTTTTTGGTGATTCTACCATATTATATTATATTTTCGGGTTTATAGTATATTGATTGATTTGTGTGATTTTTTTTTTTTTCATATCATTTATTTTTAGGACACTACAAAACTACTAATTTTCTACCTCCACTAGTTAAGTTTTCAAGAGTTGGATATTTGAATTTTTTTTTTTCTAGAAAACATATTTATTGAAATTGCCATTTAAATGTAGGTTTTTTTTCGCTTATTTCATACACAAATATTGTGGTTTTATTTTTTATTTAAACATTTTTGTTTTATATCTTGAAATCCCTTTATATAATATTACTTTCACCAGTTGATATTTGTTTGTTTAATTTTTTTTTTTTTTTTTCAATTTTAGTAATGAAGCTAATGGTGGTATAAAGAAAGAAACAAACCAAGTAAATATAAATTAAATTCATATATAATGATATCTTTAATCAATATATTTTATAATATTTACCATAGGAACATATAGATTATGATGGTATTCCAACTGCTGTGTTGTTCTGCCACGTTTGTCAAAAGCATATGTGGGATGGTGCTGTAAGTAATACTATAATACTCGGTGTAATCAAATGTAGCTGTTATCAAAATTATTATTTTAGTCTTTTGAAAAACACGTTCGTGGGCGTCCACACGAGTTGATGATGACATATTTGGACGAAGGATACAAAATGCAAGTTGAATTAATGCGTCATCAGATAAAAGCAGCTGAGAACCAACGAGAAATTGATTTAGAACGTATGCAAGCTCAAAATAAAGGAAAAGCAAAACCATTGTTTCGCAATTACTGCCCCATGTGCAATATTAACTTCTATGGGCCATTAACTGGACATCGCAAGAGTGATCGTCATCGTGTGAGTATATTAATGAATATTAAAATTACTTAAAGATAAAAAAATTTTAATATGCCTAAAACTATTATTTTATATATTTCTGTATTAATTAATGGTTTTTTTTTTATTCTTATAGAAATTGAAGCAATTCCTTCACCCTGAATGTAAAATGTGTGATATGTTGTTTCACACTCGTTTGGAATGGGACGATCATAAATTGTCTTCAGATCATTTGCGTAAAGTGGGAGAACAACGTCGTCAATTTAATCCTGATCTTAAGGATGATGAATTTGAATTGCTTGATGTGGTTATAATTGAAGATGACGAACCGGAAGAGATTCCTGTTGCTTCGAAACCTGATATGCTAGACGATCAGGAAATTAAAGATGATGAAAAGGATTTGAATGAAGTATCTGATGGCGATGGAATTAAATTAGAAAATACTGGGGCTACTGTAGAAGGTGGTGATAATGTTCTGGTAGATGATGTTGAAATGAAGGAAGGTGATACTGAAACGAAGGCGAATGAAACTGAAGGTATTGAAGAAAAGGGAGAGAAAGATAATAACAATGCTAACGAAGATCAGGCAGTTATTAAGAAAGAAAAGGAAGAAAAATATAATCCTGCTAATGTAGTTGGTCGTGAACTAGTGGTTAAAACTGGAGGATTTGTATGTCGTATTTGTTCAATATTTATGAAGAACAATGAAGAAGCTGTTTTACATTGTCAAACTGCTTCACATTACATTAACTTCACTACTATCACAAAATTGCATGTGAGTATAGTAAAAATAATTAATTTCTTTGGGTAAAAGTTGTGTTGACAATTTAAATAAATAATATTGTGTTATAAGTAATTATATTAAATATTCTTTTCTTATCATTATAATATTATAGTGTTTAACTTTAATAATATTTTTTTGTAGGCTAAAATCAATAACCGAAAACGCAAAATGAAAGAAAATGAAAATACTGATGCAAAGATTGTGGAATCTGATGGTGAGCAAATTGCAAAGCGTGCTCGTACAGATGACACTGCTGAAGACGTAACTAATGAAAATGGCACTGCTGAGCCAGCAACAATAGCCACAGACGATGACGTGCAAGAAATTATTGTTGATGTACCCATTATTGAGATCAAAGACAATAATGATGGCCAAATAAAAGTAGATCCTCCTGCTGTTGCTGTGCCAGAAACTTTGAAAGAACCTTCTGCTCCTGCTCCGGTTATCAAAAATTCTCCAATACAACGAGGCAGAGGTAGTGGTCGTGGCCGTGGTGTTTCTAGAAGGGGTAGATCGAGCCGTTAAAATAATAAGTTCTAATTAAGAATTTAAAAAAAAAAAAAAAAACTTAAAAAAGCATATACAACATCTTTACTATATTGAATATCCAATACTGTATTGTACAATTTTTTACACAAATATTTGTTTGTAAATATGCATTATTCATGTGTATTCAAAAAATATCATTAGATGTATTTTAATCATTTTAATTGCGTATAATGTGGTTCTATTAAGTAAGTCCTGCAATCTTGACCTAAACAATTTTACTCCACATATTAATGTATAACATTCAATTTATTTATTAATGAATTATAATTCATTTATCTAAATAATAAGTATAATAATACAATATCAGAATCTATACCATTATGATTTTCTAGAATATTTTATTTTACATATTTATATATAAATTATAATAATAGACTAATTTATTAAATAGTATGAATTTTTTAACACTTGAACATATTACGAATACATAAAACTAGGTATAATATTACAATATTAAATATCTCTTAATTTATATGATACAATATATATTAAATATTTTATTTTAAACAAAAACTCGATTTTTAAAAATATAATTTAATATATTATAATCTAGTTATTAGTTTAGTATTATAATTTAGAAAGTTTTGCATTTATATAATATTCATTATATATACATAAATATAACATACAATATATATATATATATATAGAGATAGATTTAAAAAAAAAAAAATAGTGTTGATCACATCTTCCTCCAAAAATGTAATTTATAAACGTTTATTTTGTATTTTTTAACCTATATATTATTATAAAAATTTGCATGTATTCAATTTTACTGGTAAAATGATTAACTGGTGTACTTAACGTGTTTACGTGATTCAATAATGACTTTATGTACGATATTATTACTTTTTACCTATTCATCATACTCTTATAATAATAATTACATTTGTAATATTACTCGCTAAAGTATTTGCCAATTATATTATTGTTCTTAAGCAAAAAATGTACTTTTTTATACCGCATAATATATATTATTATATTTATATACAGTGAATAATAAACCATACTAATATCTTACACATCTAAATTACTTTTTTTTTAATCACCATTTGTCTAGAAATATTGATGAGTTTTTTTGGTTTTAATTTAGAACTTAGATTAAATTGAATACATTTTTGTATGCAATATTTATATGTAATCTAGTTTTATCATTTTTAAGTCATTAATGTAACAATTTCGTCAAAAAACATTATTATAATTGTATTCTTTAAGTATTTTTAACTAAATTTGAATTCATCAACATAACTCTTCGCCACATATAATGTCAAAAATAGAATTTTGAATAATACCAATGAACAGCAAATGTTTCAAGTAAACATTTTAACTGTTTAGAATGGAAAAAAAAATTATTTGTGGACAAGTCGTATAAACAATATTGTACCACAGAAAATAATTAATTTTTACCCGCGGTACAAAAATTATTTGTTGAATCTAAGATACGTTGGTACTTGCATATGTATTTTTATGTAAATTATTTGTATTTCAAATTTAGATAGTCTTTTCTTTTGGGTTGTCCAGTATTTTTTTCCAATTGACAATTTTTCTTGTTTGTCCTCAAATGTTGCAACTTTACTTTAACCCACTTCCTTGTCTTGACTTATAATAATATTGAAACCTAGTATCACATGGCAGAGCAAATGTGATACTCTGGTGTCAACACAATGTCTTCTCTTCTCCAAAATAATTAAATTCTGTTCAAAATGTTCCATTTACTACTATTATTTTTATCGGTGTAACCAATGTTCCCTTGGACACTTAAGATTTTCAATTAGTAACCTAGGTATTGAAAATTTGATAATTAAACAGTTTTAATTACAGTAAATATTAGTGTCGACGTTTTTAATTTCTGTCGACCGTCAGTCCGTTACGAGATTTGCTACTTTGAAGTTGTATGTAGGGGACCACTTTTCACACGCCGCGCCGTCACGCCATGTACTACACTCAGTAGCATGGTAAAATCAATTAACCAATGCTTAGTGGCACTACTCTCCCCCTAGCCACAAAACTACTACATTTTTGTTGTTTTTTTTTTCTCTACGAAAATTAGTGGAACAAGTAACATTTTTTGATTTTCGGCAAGCCGTTGACCCATTGACGAGATATTTCACTTATACGACGTTATGGTAGGGAGAGAGGAGTAGTGGTGGTGGAACATTGTTCAGACGTCGCGCACCGTGCCGCCAGACAAACGATGCTCCACTATACTCCCTTACACTCCCCTACTCAAACTTAAGTCTAATTGCTCGTCAACGGGTTGACGGAAATCAATAATTACAACAATTAAACCAATAGGTATTTATTAGGTATCTGTGAATGGGATTTTTAATATAGCTATGTTGCCATTTTAAAATCAAAAGTGCGTAGTCGATTCAATCCTAGAAAGAAGGCGGCGATGAAAATAATGGAAACGTAAAAATGATCAAACAATATAATTATACACAAATGATTTTAGATACACACTCCGATTTCACCAATATGACGTACAACGTTGTATTTACTTACCTACTACAATATTAGGTATCTTTGTTTTTTTTGGCCAGTAAATTATCATCTCGTCTTAATTGTACGGAGGGTACTCTTGTCGTGTATACAGAGAGACATATTGACGAAGATACTACTCGGATTACAAAACTGCTATTGACACACATTTGACAATTTGTATATATCTGAGGCAGGTGTAGGTACTATCATTGATTGTGTATACAATTGTATAATAGAAGCACGTATAGGCTATAATCGTATAATCAATAATGGTACTATTAGTTGAATGCCCACTATATCATTTGTACTACTATTATTTACTAATTATACTAATTTACTTACCTGTAAAAATATTTAAAATATCTTTTCGAAAATAATTGGGCATTTACAGTGCGCTTAATATTTGGACCGGTAGCGGCGAAAAATTCCAATGGCGATAATATGTTTTAGACCCGAAGCGCCTAAATCAAGTTATTCAAACAGCGTTTTCTAAAATCGATTGGTCGGAATGTGATCATCTATCGGGTAGTTCGATTGTAGTACAACTAATCGGTCGTGCCCATCATCACCAGTAAAAAAATACAGTACATAGGTAAAATTGCAACAATTATTCTCCTATTTTGATGCAAAACGGCGAATCTGAAGAAGTAAAAACTGCTGCTGTTTTTCTACGCGTGAACGACTTTTTCCCATCAAAAATCTTGTTCCGATCACCATCGACTTCGGCTAGTTTTGATGGCAAATTTTGTCTCGAATTCGTGAATTGGAGATTTTCGAACAACTGGAAATAGTGGGAATATTCACGCAATAACGGTCCCTGTTATATTCGATTTTAATTTTTTGTTGTTATTATTCAATGGAAAATAATCGAACAGACATGTTTCAGTTTTTATTTGATTTCATATGGCGATACAATTTTTTTTTACTCCAAAAAAATGATCGTTATAAATATTGTTCTTATGGCACTATGAAAATATCGAAAATCCGTAGTCCCGATTTTTTATGTTTACAAGCGGTTTAAAGTTCAAACTTTTATGAAAATCGTAAAAATCATGACATTTTGCGTGTTATTTTTCGATTTATGTGATGCAGAATAAACATTATTGGCCCTGTACAAATATTCAATAGTTCGAGACCAAAACATAGTTATTTATTTATTTTTCATGTGGTCACTATGCTTAGAATCGGTTCTAATGTCTTTCTGTTGCTGCTGAACGATTGCAAATCTGCTTGTTGCTCCGGTGTCTTCGATTGTGAATTTTTTTGTTTTTTTTTTTTTCTTCCGCGCGCAATCGCGAATTGTTTTTTTCTCCGATTTTTAAAACGGTAAAAATAAGTGCGCAATCGTGCTGTTACGCCCAGTTTTTCGTCGGGAAGTTTGGCGTCTTGCGCAGACTCGTATTTCCACTGTTCAACCCAGTATAGGTGTACCTCCCGTCTCGGGGTAGGAGTGGGAATTTTATCGATTCGCGTTTACTGGTGTCCAATGATAACGTCGCTTGGGGAGAGTGGTCCGGGGACGGCCGCAGTGCGAGCGTAAGTACTTTATTTCTTTTCGTGCAAACACCTACATATAGGGTGACCAATTCTGGAGAGTATTGACTTGTTACGGTGTACTTTTTTTTTTTTTTTTTTTTTTTTCGGAAAACTTAAGAAATATTACTAACTCTGAAATTTCGAGTTGCGTTTATTTTTTTGACCCTCATGTTTGGGGGGGGGACCAAACCACAAATACCTATATGTACCCGCGAGTATGAAGCTGAAAAAAAATTAAGGCTACGTAATATTTTAGAGTTATTCGATTCTTGTATTGATTCACAAGAAAATAATCCGAAACATCAATACGTTCGAAACAACGGGTCTCTCACGGGTACGCCCGCCCGGATTAAGGGTAGGGGATCATTATAAAGAGGCTCTATTTTTGAGTTCGACTCCGGGGGCTGCTGGGTCATTAATCCACCCTCGCTTACGGAAAAAGGGTCTTTAGGGATCATGTAACAACTGTTGATGGATGTTTCAATTTCAAATGTTCGAAATATTGCGCGTTAGAAGGGTCGTACGTTCGAAATCGCACCGATTTCAGAATAAAAAAACGAAAATTACACCGATCACGTTTCATCAATTCAATTACGCGGACAAATCACTTTAATTTATTTCTCACCGATATAACCGGCGTAACCGACGTCGGTGTTCGAATAAAAGGTGTACGCGTTTTTACATAGAATTCGCATTTTTTACTACATTTTCGACGAGGAACACATTTACGCGCACCAACCGCGCCATCAAATGTGGTGCAGGCGTCGAATCTACGCCGTGGTAATTCCACGTGAAAAACAAATATACACTTTTTGTTAAAACGAACAATGCTATTGCATAATATACTTTCTCTCTTTATGTACACGGGTACCGTCTTACGGCGAGGATTGATCACACCCTGTACGCGTTGCAGTCCGCAGAGGGAGGAGCTAAAACGTCGGTGTTATTTCGGTCGGACCGATTTACGCGCACGGTAGAACAAAATTTAACCGTCGATTCGAGCATACGTTTATAGACAGGAAAAAAAAAAAAAATTCGTCGTCGACAAAAAATAATATAATATTATCTCGTGTTGTGCACGTACATATAAAGGCACTGTTGTTTCCCGCGGACTGTTTGTGTCTCTCTATACGTAACACAAGGGATCTAACCGAAATGGTTTACCCGCTTCGTCTTGTTTTTAGTGATTTTTACACGGAATTTCCCTCAGCGCCGCCGCAGTCGGCACTTTTGTCCGGGGTGGCGATGGGGAGTGGCGTGCGGTTTCCCCGTTGCCCTAATTATTTCAACCCATCCCATTGTCCCGGTAGGTGTAGTTGGGAAATTTATCATTCTCTAACCGGTAAGGGAAATATTGCAAGTTTCGGCGGCGTTAATCGACAAAATTGCGCACGATTGCTGAGCACGTTCTTGTTCAAGTTCTCTCCTATTTCAGCGTTTTACGCATAGGTATTTCGTAATTAAAATATTAAATTAGGTACAAAAATCTGCCATCTGTGACTATAACAATACATTCTGGTCAATAATATAAATTGGAAAAACCCCCAGTTCTCAAGAGGGGGGGGATGATCCACTAATCTCCACTCCCCTGATATGCGCCAATGATCATGAACCATATCGTACGACTCCGGGGTATAGAAAACCCAACGTTTCGGCGGTTTACACATTTTACTGTCGAAAAATCGACAAAAATGTATTTTAATATTTTAAAAAAATACTGTATATAATGTACGTATAACCAATTTATTGATTTTATCGAAGTATCGATTTCAATGAAAATAAAAATGTGGATAAATCGTTAATTGATATACCGACATTTTGGACATTTCAAATTGATTTGTTTTCAGACTTCATTATAGATCAATCGTCGACTGATGAATTTCGTACAGCGAATAATCAAAGAAAATAGGGTAAGGTTTTTACGATAGTTTAATGAACTGTCGTCAGCAGAATGTAGTTGATAAAAAAAAAAAAAACCATACACCCGGAAGTAGATTCGGCGTACACGACCTGTTTTCATCCGGAAATTGAGAAAAACCGATCCGCCTCGTTGCCACCGTACACCGAGAGAGGGCTCGAGTGGTAAAAAAATACACGCAGTCGCCGACCGAAGCAGTGCATATTAACATATACAGGGTGCTCCCATTTTTAATAATTTTGTATTATATGCGGTTGAATAATGGACTTGTTAAAAATGTTTTTTTTTTTTTTTTTTTATGCT